AGCGCGGCAATTTGAAATGGCGGATTTACAAATACACCAGCGTTTCCGTCGCCATATCCAATACGCATTTGTAAACAAAGCTATCTCAGACATAGACTTATTTCTGTGGGTCTAAGATTTTATTTGTTTTTCTTTCACAGTTTTCTGTCATATGAAATAAAATTAATTATTAGCAAATGATTTATAATAATATAATGGTACGGGTACAACTAACCTTCAAATTATTAGTAGGTAAATTTTTTTACATTTATTTTTTTATTGCGGACAATAAATAACTATAATAAACTCCAATACATATAGTTTTAAATAGTATCACGATACCTTATGATAAATTAAAAATTTTTTTTTAGACACGCTTACTATTTGTAGCAACTATCTCACCAATTCAACGAGATTGCCACAGTTTGTTAGATGTAAGTGGTCTGTGAATGTATCTAATAGTATAGCTGTCCCTCCTCACCATGTAGACTGTTATCACAGTACTAGAGTAACGTCAGTCGCCAGATTTAAATTATCGACGAAACCGCAAACATTTTACCTTGTAGTGCAGTTATCCTTTAAAAGATATCAACAACGGTGGTTATATAAATGACGCAATAAATATTTTTCATTTATGAATATTATTTTGCTTCTATACTCGTATAGTTACATTGCATTATGCAATTATTCGTATGAGAAGTACTACTAGGCTTCCCAAGTTAAACCACATCTGAGTCTCGAGTATCTCCAGAAACTATTTTCTCATTGTATAAAAGATATACAGGGTGTCCCGAATCAGAACCGACACAGGGCAGGTGCATGTAGGGGTGTCCAAAATATTATAATTTAACCAAACTTACCTATGTACAAAGTTGCACCCGTGAGGAGTTATTAGTCCCCAAAGTGGGGCCCTAAATTTCGAAAAAAATTAATATCACTGCAACACTTTACCGCAGAATAACCAAATTTGGTACACGATTTAGGTTTATTACTGGTCTTCTTTGACTATGTTTTAAAGTTAATTTAAGCACTACAAGGTGTTCATTGGGCATGACCCACCCCTAAAATTGTACCGAACTTTCTTTTCATTGACCGAATTGAAAAATAATAATATTAATTCACAGCAGAGTTTAATTTTAATTTTTTTTGCTCTTGTTAAATTTTAAAAAACTTTATGGTTTTCCAGACAAACCGTATTAACTGACACAAGTGGCACATTAGAAAATAATCAAAAAGTCAATGAATTTATCTTTCAAACTTATCAGTTAGTAATAAAATTATTTTATTTCAACAATTGCCTCTGATTGTTGTTGAAAATGTCTGGAAAATTTACATTTAGCGAACAAGTTGATATGCTACTTGTGCTGAGTTTCTGCGAAGGAAACTGTAGAAAAGTGTGGAAGAATTGTTGAAATAAAATAATTTTATTACTAACTGACAAGATTGAAAGGTAAATTCATTGCCTACTACTGACTTTTTTAATTATAATTTTTAAAATTAAATTCTGCTGTGAATTAATATTACTATTTTTCAATTCATGTTTCAAAAAAACTTGTGTGCAAGTTCCCCCATGGGAAAATAATAGGGGTAGCTTATATAAAGTTTTTTCTTAGACTCCCTGTTTTCGAGATACAGTGTGTTGAAGTTGTTACTTGCCATATGGTTTTCCTTAATTATCTTTAAATCGGCGAAAGATAAAAATGAAAAAATTTGTACACGAGTAAACATCAACTGTGCGTTAAGAATAATGTCCAAACTGTTTCTTTCTGAAAAGCAGTGTCGCCGATACGGGTAATTGAAGGAGTACAATCGAAGAAAAAATCTGTTAAAAGTAAAAATTTATTACATTTCTAAACGGTTCTGTAAACTGTAAAAGATACTACAAAAAAGATATACTTGTCGAAATGCGGTAGCATATACCATTTTCGAGAAAAATGAGGTTGCATTTTTTTGCTCACATAAAGCGGCTTGCTCACATAAAGCGGCGCAAGTAGATTAACAAAATATTAAATTGAAAGAGGATCTTACCATTGAATGTGCTGAAGACATTTAGCTACCAACAGTATTTGCATTTAAGACTATAATTTTAATTTCTTACGTATCATATGAAACAGTTAAATTGCAAAATATTTTATTAATTAAAAAAAAATTAAAATTTATTATGTTTCAGTTTGTTGTAAACTAACATTTAAAAAAGTAAATCAAAATAAACAGATTATGGTAATTAATTATCTATTATTAACTAATTTTAGATTTTGTAAACTACTACACTACCATTACTAAAATAAACAATTGTTGAATGGACTGAATTGTTGATGGACATGAATGCTTAAAAAAAGTGATAAAAACAGAAAAATATTAGGAAACAGACTCGGAGACATACAGAACAAAACAGCTGCACAATTAAATAAATGTGCAAACTCGAAATACTACAGTAGATACTGAAATTGTCCCCCATTTCCTTCTATGCAACTTCATTTTTCTCGAAAATGGTACATGCTACCGAATTTCGACAAGTATACCTTTTTTTGTAGTATGCTTTAGAGTTTACAGAACCGTTTAGAAATGTAATAAATTTTGACTTTTAACATATTTTTTTTTCGATTGTACCCCTCCAATTACCTGTATCGGCGACACTGCTTTTCAGAAAGAAACCGTTTGCACATTATTCTTAACGCACAGTTGATGTTTACTCGTGTACAAATTTTGACATTTTTATCTTTAGCCGATTTAAAGATAATTAAGGAAAACCATTTGGAAAGTAACAACTTCAACACACTGTATCTCGAAAACAGGGCGTCTAAGAAAAAAACTTTACATGAACTACCCCTATTATTTTTCCATGAGGAACTTGCACACAAGTTTTTTTGAAACATGAACGGGACACCCTGTATATATATATGTTCTGATATATATATTTGTATATTATACAATAAATGTTTGTTTACGCAATTATTTTAAATTTTTTACCTTGTACTTATAAATTTATGTTAATATTGAAACCTATGCAATTATTCAGTAGTTTGATCTTAACTATAAATATTTTTAACATTGAATAATTTCATTAATAGACTGGTTTAACTTAAAAATAAAATAAATCTAAAATTCGCCTTTAAAAAACTTTTTTCATGTAAATAACTAAGTCTTTTGCATGATTAACCTCATTTTCTGCTGCACATAAATTCCTGGCTTTTTTGTTAGTACATCCCTGTTTAGCGCAATAAAATTTCACTGAATACAATCCTGACTTTCTATACCAAAAGTGGGGGATTTACGTCATTCAAGGTCCCTGAAAACAGACATCAGTGATCAAAGGTGCCGACAACGAGATATAATTCTGGTTGTTTTATCTTCTGTGCCTGCAGTCTTGTATGGTTCCCTTACTACCAGACACATACTAACAAGAATTGAACGTCGTTTTTTTTTAAATATTTAAGCTTTAGAATTGATGGTTATTATACAAATAGATATTTAGATTGTTTTAAAATGCAGTGTTTGCAAACTAGAAGAGTACTTAATAGTTTATCTGTCCTGTTTAAACTCTTTTATGCCAATGTCGACTCAATATATCTACTGGTTTTTTTTCAGTATACAAGTTCCCAGACATAGTCCCGTGATTATTGCATGTGCTATTATCAGAATGCAAAAACCAATATACTTCTTAAATGTCTCATTTATAACATGGCAAATAATTATAATCTAATATAATCACAAATAAATATAGCACTGTGTGCTAGGGTTCTATAAATTTAGTCATAAACTCTTGGATTGTGATTTATATTTACATTTCTCGAACAATGCATTTAACATATCTTCATGACGGTTAAACAGAGAAACCTCATGTAAACGTGAAGTTCACTTAAGCGACACTTGTTCTTACCATAAATTCTACCAGTGGCTTTTAGTACGATCTCCATTACAAAGTTTTTGAGTGAAATGGACATGTTTCCTATAGTAGGATCATATTCGATGCAAAGTAGAGCAAAAAGTTGTCGGTCTTTTATCAAAGGAAAATCGTGTCATTATTTTTAGAAGGCGTAAGATAAATCATTTCAAATTTAAAATGAAATTCAATGTAAAATCTGAAATACCGCTGCATACGCACTGTGTTCTGGTAGTAGCTGTAGTCGCCCAGGTGCATCGAGTGTACGAACTGGTCGGTTATACGTCAAATACTAACCTGGCGAGCTTTGCCGTCAATTAGAGAGCGCTTCCAAAAAACAAGTAAACAACAGTGGCGCGTACAGAGGTAAAATGTAGTACATATGTGGAATTTAGGAAACAAATTGGATTTATAATAAATTACATTTAAAATAAATAGTTTATGAGAATAAAGGAATTTTTGTAGGAACAAGGGTGCCAGACCTGAACTAATCCCCTCGTCCCTTCATAATGTATAAAGAAATTATTCAACTTATAAAACCCTTAAAAGCGTACTTCATTGGTTCCCTTGACAGGCAATGATTTATTACTTTGCATCGAATATGATCCTACTATACACTGTTTACTAATTTCTTCTTTTAAATGTGCAGTTCCAAATTATACAATTATTTTTAATTTTAATTATAATTACGAATACAAATAATGACATTAGCTATCAAAACATACATAAAAGCCTATCTTTTTTTTCTCAAAGCTCCATTTTATCATTGAGTTTCTTATTCGTTCTTATTAATATCTTACCTTTTAAAAATTCATATCAGATAGCCTGATTCATTCTAAACAAAAAAGGTCTCTTATATTTTTTTCGTAAAATTAACGATTTCTCAGCAGTTTTATCGAACTGTATATAATTTATCTATAGGCGGCTATCACGTTAACATTTTGTAATGGCAACTTAATTGTTATAATTAATGCAATAATTTTATTAAATATGTGAAGAAACAAACATTCAACATTTAATGTAATTTTAGATATGTGGTAATTTATACTAGTTTTTAATAATTTATAACAGTTAATCACTTGTTAGTTGTGAATACACTGAAGTAACCCAATAAAACTAATGACAAATAAAATATTACCATATGAGGATATTCATCACTATCAGCTTTTGCACCACGAAATATATTAAGCATAGGTTTGGAGTTATAGTCCCTGACAAGATTCCCACAAACTGAAAAAAAAACAGTGTTAAGGCTGCGTTCAGCGAATGGACGGATCGGTCAAAGTCGTTCAGCGGATAAATATTTCATTGGTCAATCCAATCAGCTAATTCGGAATATTGGGCAGGTTTTAATACAGTTACTAAAGGCCGTTCAGCGAATTGTTTGACTAAAGAAGTTTTACCTAACTAGTCCGACCATTTGCTGAACACAGCCTGCCTAAATATGTAATGTAATGAGAGCAAATGATTATTATTATACTCCATGTGATTTAGTTTGTACTTAAAATTTACATATAATAAAGATCTTCAACTATTTACACAACTTGAATGCCACAGTTTTTTAGAAATAATACCATTCGTTTATCTAACAGCTTCGTGTGATCTATACAGGGTGGCCAAATGAAAACGAAACAGAGCCATTTTCAGGAACTGCGTCAAGCTTGTAGAAAAATGCTCGGACCCGTCGATTTTAGATTAAAGGGGGACATTCTTTGCTGGTATTTTTGACTTCGCCACTTTCACCCCCAAGCAAGGATAAGCATCACTCCAAAATATTTCAATGGCATTGGAGGTCGAGTAATATTTCTTTTGAAAGCTCTTTCAATTCTATTTACAACAGACTTTAAATTTTATAATTCCGCGCAATACTTTGAAAAAAATATTATAAAATTTAAATTATGTTTAGTTGCTTACTCACTACTTAGTTGATTAAATGTTGAAACTGATGACCGCCCGCTTCCATACAAGAATAATGATTTTGTTCGAAACGTTCGCGCACATTCCGAAGCATTTCCGGAATGATTCGACGGCATTCGTCGACGATTCTTTGACGCAAATTTTCCAGCGAGGCTGGCTGTGTTTTATAGATTTTACTTTTTAGGTATCCCCACAAAAAGAAATCAAGGGGCGATAAATCCGATGATCGTGGAAGCTATTCAATGCTGCCTCTTCTCCCAATCCAATTCCGTAGAAAACGTTGGTCCAAATACTGACGGACAATTAACGCATAATGCAGAGGAGCACCTGTTGAAAAATCAAATTATCTTCATCATACTCTGGAACATTTTCAATAATATCAGTCAAGGCAGGGTCAATAGCGTCTTCGAGTAATTGCAAATACATTTGGCCAGTCAAATTACCAGGTAGAAAAAAAGGACCCACCAGCCGGTCATCGAAAATTCCATCTCATACATTTAATTTTTCCGGTTGCTGTGTATGCAACTCGTGAAAAACTCTTGGGTTTGAATCGGACCAATAGCGGCAATTGTGATGATTTACCGTCCCGTTCAAGAAAAAACTGCATTAATCAGAAAAACAGATGTTAAAAAAGAACTGTGGATCATTCCCTGCTCGCTTACTCATTATTTCGCAAAATTGCAAACGGCGGTCATAATCATCGTCGTGAAGTTCCTGGACTAAATGTATTTTATATGGATGGCATTTATTCTTCTTCAAAATGATTTGTATGCTAGTTCAATTGATCCCAGACACAGATGCCAGCTGCCTCGTAGGTACTTAATGTAGAATCAAGATGAACTTGTCCCAAAACTTCAACTTCACTAACTAACTTCATTAACTATAAGTTTTTCAATGTCTCGTGTTTTATTGGCTACGTTTCCTGTCTCTTGAAATTTGTTTACTAACTATAGAACATACTTCCTCCTGAAATATCGATCTTGATGTTGTTCATTAAATAGCTGAGCTGTTCTATTCACATATTTATTGTTCATAAAGTAAAGCAAAATGATATCTACCGCCCATAGTGTTTAATTTTCAAAAACACAATTAAATAAACTACCGACCAACACTTCCAATTAATATTACAAAATAATTTGGAATCCACTAATTTTACATTCATTGTGTGTGTATAGCATTCATGTCTGTTTTTTACAATTGTTTTTTTACGAAAGTGATAACAAATCGCCAAAAACCAATGTAACGCAAGAAATACTAAATTTATGCCATTGACGTACTTAACTTGAATGACTGACATTTTTACCGTTACTAATTGTTTGTACATAAGTTTCAACTTTAAAATAAAAATTCTTAATAAGTATTGGGCGGAATTATAAAATTTAAAGTCTATTTTAAAGAGAATTGTAAGAGCTTTCAAAAGAAATATTACTCAACCTCCAATGCCATTTAAATATTTTGGGGTGATGCTTACCCTTCCTTGGGGATGAAAGTGGCGGAGTCAAAAATACCAGCAAAGAATGTCCCCCTTTAATCTAAAATCGACGGGTCTGAGCGTGATTGAAAAAATCGCGGATGTTTCCAAAATTCCGCAAACAAAGCGATCGACGTACAATCATTCTGGAGATCTCCACGTCGATATCGACAGATCCCCGAACGAATGCTGTACACCTCACACGTAATCAAGAAGAAATACCAAAAATCACCGACCTTTCCATCGTCAAACCGACAGGACGACGCCAAGCGTTCCCGTTCCATTGGATGATGTCAACAATCTGTGCCAAAGCTTCCCTTGAGATCGCCGACGAGAGACGAGGAAGACGAAAATTTTGACTCACTTTCGAAATTTTTATGAAATGGATTGACTTCAAATTCAACCTCCTGACCCTGCCAATTTTCAAGCTCCAAATTACAATCAAACAGTCAGACGTGGCCATCAGAAATAAGGTGCCACACAACAGGCAAACTACTGGAATGTAACCTGCTTGTGAACGAACATGCACTTATTTAACTAAAACATAGTACCAGGCCACAGTGTGGACTTGACAAGCAAAATGAATTACTATTAAACAAGCATACAAATAAATCACAACTTCAAATCTCAGTCTAAGATATCATTTAATTGCAAAAAAATCCATAAACCCAAATTCAGTGCTCTCAGCTATATGCTATAAACGTACAAAAAAAAAGTTCCAAAAGAATATACACAAAGGGTTGTAGTAAACTGAACGTCTTATATGATTTAATCTAATAGGAACATAATCAAACTTTGCTCAAATCAGTTCTGAGTTAAGGTGAAAACAAGAAATAAAAAAGAAACTTTAACACCCTGTAACTTTTTTTGTGACATTTTTCGCTTAAACAAGTTTGGTTAAATCGACACAAGTCCCCAAGCCAGCGACCTTTATCCGAACTGATTACAAAAGTCATGAAAACGGTCTGGATCGCTTCGTTTTAACGAGTCTACCACGCTGTAAAATTTTTAGAATATGGGAAGGGCGCTTTTTCGCACTGCGAGTACTTAAACCTGTCGTTCTGGGCGGGTTCTCTTTTGTGATTACAACACTCAAATTTTTTATTTGAATTAAAAGAAAATGTGTTAAATAAGAAGCAAATTGGATTGTCCGACAAAATAGAGGGCGCAATTGTCGAGTCCGACATCTCCAACATGTCGCTCTAGCGCGGTATGGTTTTCCGATTACAAAACACTCAATTTTCATTTTAACTTATTAAAAATTGCCTAAAAAACGTAGTCCATACCTTGTCCGATAAATTGTCAGGCGCTTTTTTCCAGTCTGACTACCCAGATCGCAGGTTAGGTTTTCCGATTACAAAAGTGATAAATTTTATATTTTTGGTTTTAGAATAAAATAATAATTAAAAAACAATACTTCTCCGACAAAAAAACGACGCAAATTAATAAAATCTAATGCCTGATTTGGAGCCCAGCAGCTCAGTCGTGTCCTAGCATTTGACGTGTACGCATCGCTGTGAAGTATATTGTAAAACATTGTATAAATAGAAGTGGTCGAGTTGGTGAAGCGAAGCGAAAAGTTTCCTTCTTTAGGTAAGTAATAAAATGAATATATAAAAGGTAAATATGTACGCCATTTTTCGGTTGACGTCACAAGTTTCCAGGGTTAGCTTTATAATTTTGTTCGCCCACATAGTGTAGTGATTAACGTGATATTGTTATTATAAAATAATGAATGAATTGCTGTAAAATATTTTTAGTAATTATTTACTTTATGTGTCTCAAATTTTTATGAAATTTTACCAATTCCCGTCATTTCGAGATAGCTGAAAATTAATTAAATATTTTTTTCAATTGAAAAAATCGCAAACAAAACTAATTTAAGATTCATGTTCAGCACCCTGGAAAAGGAGAGTTGGTAAAATGTGATTAGAAAAATCAGAGAGTTTCGTGACAAAAAAAATAATTAAGTACGCTTCGATGTTTCAAACCTATACTCGACGGCCGAAAATATAGATAGTGATTCATACATAATATAGAAACACTATTACCGTAAAGTGTATAAAACTTAAAATGATTTTTATAACGGTTCAATATTATTTGCTTATGTTAAATGATGTGCCGCTCTCTTTGCACATCGATAGGATCTATAACAGTCATAGACTGAGTTACACTGAACGCGATTTATTTCCTATCTCTGTCTATCGCACTTATTACAGATAGGGAAATGCTCTTTTTAGTGGGTGTAAACGGACGTACGTAGAATTCGAGTTAGCCGTAGTTAGAAACGTCAAACTATAAGCGCGCGCGAGGGTTTGCATATTCCGTGACTATAGTAAATTTATAAATTAAAAAAATACAATCGGGACGTTTTAAAACGTAGGAATAATAATTAAAATGGATCAAAGTGCCGGTTGTAGCAAACGGTCTGTTGCTCATAAACGCCCTAACCTATGCGATGCGGAATTAATAATGGTAAAAAACGTGTATAAAGGAATTCGGTCGCGAAATTCTAATACAAGTGTAAGTGAAGCTGTTGATATGTGTAGTTCGTTGACAAAAGTATCCGTTGCTACTGTTTATCGTGCCATAAAAAATAGTGTAGAAGTGAATCCAAAGAAGAAAAAAGTGGAAACACGAGGGAGGAAGAAAATAGAAGTCGACGTTGACGTGAAATACTCCATACGTAGGAAAATTCATGGATTTTTCTTTAGAAATGAAATACCAACGATAAAGAAAATTCAAGCTGCAATAGCTGAAGATGAGGATATTCCTAATTTCTCTGATAAGGTTCTTAGAAGAATAATGCGTGACATGAATTTTCGATATTTGAAACGGAATC